TGTAATTAAATGTAAATCATATTGGGAAAAGATTGATGAGACTACTGAACTAGGTGCCCAGCCTGGCTGGGTATTCAGTGTTTTAAAAGATTCATTTATCACTGTATCCTGTTCATAGCTCAGCAAAGAAGAAAGTTGTTTCAAAAGGGATTGGCCCCTACTCCTAGCTTGCCATTCCCTGCATTGTGAAATATGTTAAGGGATGATGCACAGAAAAACATTCTATCCAGCATGTGGTGTTTGGTGCGTGAATTTGTAAAATGTCTCTCTTTATCAATAGAGTTTCAGGGAAAAGGAGAGGGGATGAAAACAATTATTATAAAAATGAGCACAGAGAGCGTTTGTTTATAGCCAGGAATAAAACGTGAAACTAAAGGCAGGTCCTATTTCTCACCAGCTTTGCTAGCCCGCACCAAAGCATAGGCTGTTCATTGGTTTCTGTGCACGTGCTTCACAGCTCATACAGTCACTCACCATTTCTTCCTCATGTTCATCCACTTTCTATGCATTTCTGTTAAATGGGGCAGAGCCTGGCTGCTAATGTAGCTGTTACCGTGTTGGCCAACACACTAGGATTGAACGTAGGCCCTTCAGAGAGAAAAGAATGAACAGCTACAATCTTAGAGCTAGGGTTGTAATAGACTCCCGTAATCCATGGCACTGAGGGTAACCACAAGCACAGGCTACACTAGCGTGGCGCCATACAGTCCCTTCTGTTCTGCTCTCAGTACATGCAGTATGGAACTTCTGTCCCCTTCCATGCTGGAACTACAGGGGCAGTGGCCTCTGCGTAACTCCCTGGTTTCTGAAAGTAACTACAAAAGCTCCAGTCCTGGTTTTTATCTGTGTGAGTTGTTGGGTGGAGGCCAGTCCCCCTGCTAATCCTGTAGAAGGAAAGGAATTCTGCCCCTATTATCAGTGAGGGTATGTCTACACTACCCTCCTAGTTCGAACTAGGAGGGTAATGTATGCATACCGCACTTGCTAATGAAGCCCGGGATTTGAATTTCCCGGGCTTCATTAGCATAAGCGGGGAGCCGTCATTTTTAAATCCCCGCTGCTTCGAACCCCGTGTAGCGCGGCTACACGGGGCTCGAACTAGGTAGTTCGGACTAGGGTGCCTATTCCGAACTACCGGTACACCTCGTTTCACGAGGAGTAACGGTAGTTCGGAATAGGACCCTAGTCCGAACTACCTAGTTCGAGCCCCGTGTAGCCGCGCTACACGGGGTTCGAAGCAGCGGGGATTTAAAAATGGCGGCTCCCCCCTTATGCTAATGAAGCCCGGGAAATTCAAATCCCGGGCTTCATTAGCACTGAGGGTATGTCTACACTACCCCGCTAGTTCGAACTAGCGGGGTAGTGTAGACATACCCCGAGTGGCAAGTACTATTTACTTAATTGCTGTTTGTTTGTTTATTTAATTTGTGTTTAGAGAAAGAAAAGAAGAAATCCTGTCTCAAGCACCTGGAAGTGGTGTGCTCTATCCCTTCCCACTCTCTCCTTCACCCAAGCTACTATCACAGTTTTGGCATTACAGAAAATTATATCATCTTCATAGAGCAGCCATTCAAACTGGACATTCTCAAGTTGGCAACTGCCTACTTCAGAGGCGTTAACTGGGCGTCCTGCCTTTCCTTTCATAAGGAAGAGAAGGTACCTTTCCTGATATGTGCTAAGCTGTGAGGGAAGCCAGAGTAACAACCACTCCCACACGAAACTATACTTTCCCTGATTGTAAAAAGTTTAGTCACTTCCCATTGAGAAATGTGTTTGCCTCTTTCTTCCTATATGTACTCTCACTAGATAATTGGATATTTCCTTTAGAATCCTATCTCACCCCACCTAAAATTCCCATAAGTAAATCTCTGGTGCCAAGGTCGGATAATATGGAGTACAATTAGAAATATCCTATGCTAACAAAGAGATTCTGCTTATCTGTTGTACCCAAGAAACATGTACCATCGGCGTTGTGCCCAAGTAGCCATGGACAACCATGTACCCAGTGTTGCTCAGATCCTTAACTCAATTAATTTTTGTTTTTCTTTATTTATGTCATTGCTCTGGGATGGGGTTGGGGACGAAGGGTTCAGTAGGCAGGATGCTCCAGGGAGAGAGGACAACTGCAGCCCTCTCTCGCCGTAGCAGTTTGGGGCCAGGTAAAAAGTTCCCCTCCATGGCTGCTGCAGCTCCAGCAGGTGTAGCTGGTGGAGGGATGCATGGCCCCCGGCTGAGGGACAGACAGACACACAGACAGGTACACAGACAAACTCTCTTGTATATTTTGTAGACAGTTATCCCTTTCTTCACTCTTGCCCTCTGCTACTCCAGTTGATATAGCTGTCCTGTTCTCCACCTCTGGCTCCTTAATGTCCCCCTATAGTCATTATACAGTATAACTGCCCTTGCTTTCCATCCCATATCTCCTGCTGCCCCATGTGGTCATTATATAAAAGAGCCCTCCCTTTCCATTTTATGAGAAACAATCCCATTCCAGGCACAACCCATTGTCCTGTCACAACCAAACCCCGACCTTGCTTTAAGTTATGATAAGAAGTTTCATATCAAATATGGTGGTCCTAGCTCTTACCAATTAGGAGGAGTTCTTGAACAAACAGACAGACACACACACACACACACACACAGACAAATGCTCTCAAATATAAAGCAGATACACATTTAGGTGAATAAGTATTGAGACTTTAGGTGAGGGTCTAATTCCCATTCTGGCTCCTTTACATGAGGGAGGGTCAGATTAGCATAATTGCACTCTAAAAAACCTGGATTTGGCTGAGGGAGAATTCTCCTAATGCAGGAACAGGAAAAGGCAGCTGCGGGCTGTCTTCTGAGGATGCCCCTCACAATCCCTGGTATGCCAGAGACAGAGCCAGGTGTGAGAGGACATATTCGGTCTCAGCATGTAGCACTATAGCGATTCTGTGCAAGTGAGATAGGCAACTTTAATTAGACACTTCCAAGTGCCTAAATTTTGCTGAGAGCAATTTCAGCTCCCAGAGCTACTCCAGATTGGGAGTGTATAAAAGTGGGGTGAAAGCTGAAGGCTCACGTAAAGTCTCAAGCCTGCATGTTCTGTGCTGCACCTCGTACCCAGCATCTTACTGGCATAACCCAGCTGCTCCAAATACATCGTTATAAACAAAGTGAAATGCAGCATCATGGACGTGGAAACACTGGTTTGCAAACAAATGACTTTTTTAAAATGAGCAAGTGTTCACTGCCTATTAACACTATTCAGCATTAGTGTGTTTGCCCTCTTTCAGACTTGGATTCACCTCATAGACAGAAAGACCAAAAAGGACACAGCCACCAAGATTTACACAGAGGCCATGGTCCTTTTTCACCACGTGAATGCTTACGAGGAGGATGGCCACATTGTTATTGATGTCATTTCCTATGCAGACAATAGCCTGTATCAAATGTTCTACTTAAAAAACCTGAATGAAGACTTGGAGAAAAACACCAAACTCACTTCCATACCAGTCTGCAAGCGACTTGTGGTTCCTCTGGCGTTTGACAAGGTAGTATTGAATTGATTGTGTTTGAGTGGTAATTTTGGATAACTCGCTAAATGAAAAAGCATATGAAGCATTGGTATGCCAGGCCACATCTGAGTTCCTGATTTTTGAAATGATATTCACAAAATTGGGGAGAAAATTGTGCTATCAGGGCAATTTGCCCACTCCTTGTGCAAATATAGTTACTTGGTGCCAGCTTTTGATTCCTTTGTGAGAATGGAGAAAGGTCGTATTCAACTTGACTAGTCTCTTCAAAGTCAGTGGGGCGTGGGTCACACGAATAAATGTGTCAACATGATAACCAAAATAATCAAGGATGAAACTCCGTGCTTTGGGTGTTCCTAATCTCCCACTTCCAGAAGCTTGGACTGCATGACGGGATGGATCATTTGAAATTGCCCTGTTAATTTCCTCTGTAGCATGGGGCTCCAGCTAATATCAGAAGAAGGATACTGGGTTAGATGGACTGTTAGCCTGACCCACTACCGCTGTTTGCGTAATGAATCCATTCAAGTAGTCCTGCCTTCCTACCTTGCGGTCTAAGAATTAGTAACATTGTACAGAAGGACACTATACAGAAAGATCTCATTGAGCTGCTAATGTAAACACTCAGTGGCATTGTCATTGAGATAAATACCAGTTTTTTAAAAATACCAAATGGCATCAATGCACATGGTGTCTATTTACCATTTAAGTCTGTTGATGATAATACATGGAATAGATACACACACGCATGCTAAAAATGGGAAGCCATTACATCTATTTTTTTTAAACATTGGGATTTTCAAAGGAGTTGAAGAGATATGAGAGCCCAAACTCTATTGACTTAGGTGCCTCGCTCTCTTAAATGACTTTGAAAATCCCAATCGTATGCTGAAATAATGTGATAAATTTACACTGCTTCTGTGAAAAAGTTCAATTACTATCTGGTTGACACCTTTATCAAGTTTGACCTAACACAGTGGAGAATAGCTGATTTATAAAAATCCCCTGCAAATGTAGGGATTTTAAATGAAAACGCTCATGCTCTAGTAATTCAAGATAAATGCCTCTGGGGAAGCAGCCTTTTTCAGTTATGCCAAATGGCTTATGCCTAAACTACTCAAGATAGTGAAGTCCAAAACACATGGTGAAGAGCTTCAAAAGGATCTCACAAAACTGGGTGGCCAGGCAACAAAATGGTAGATGCATATTGGAAAACATAATCCCAACTATACATATAAAATGATGGGGACTAAATTACCTATTACAACTCAAGAGAGAGATCTTGGAGTTATTGTGGATAGTTCTCTGAAAACATCCACTCACTGTGCAGCAGCAGTCAAAAAAGCAAACAGAATCTTAAGAATAATTTTAAAAAGGATAGAGAATAAGACAGAGAATATCTTATTGCCTCTATATAAATTCAAGGCATGGCCACATCTTGAATACTGTGTACAGATGTGGTCACCTCATCTCAAAAAAGATACTGTAGCATTGGAAAAAGTTCAGAATAGGGCAACAAACCTGATTAGAGGTTTGGAATGGCTGACATATGAGGACAGATTAATAAAACTGGGACTTTTCAGATTACAAAAGAGGAGACTAAGAAGTGATATGATAGAGGTTTATAAAATCATGACTAGTGTGGAGAAAGTAAATAAGGAAAAGTTATTTACTTGCTCCCATAATATAAGAACTAGATACATTAAATAACATAAATTTAAAACAAACAAAAGGAAGTTTTTCTTCACACAGTGCATAGTCAACCTGAGGAACTCCTTTCCAGAGGATGTTTTGAAGACCAGGAATTTAACAAGGTTAAAAAAAGAACTAGATCAATTCATGGAGGATAGGTCCATTCATGGCTATTAGCCAGGATGGGTAGGAAGGGTGTCCCTAGCTTCTATTTGTCAGAAGCTGGGAATGGGTGACAGGGGATGGATCACTTAATGATTACCTGTTCTGTACATTCCCTGTGGGGCATCTAGCATTGGCCACAGTAAGAAGATTGGATACTGGGCCACACTTATGTTCGAAATAGCAATTTACGTACAGTAAAAATCAACTTTGATGAAAGTCCTAAATTAGAAATATGTCTTTTGAAATGTCTTGTTCTTTTTAGCATCTTTCTCTTGCAGGATGCAGAAGCAGGTACTAATTTAGTCAAAATTCCGTCAACTACGGCAACTGCTCTGAAGGAAAAGGATGGAAGCCTCTATTGTCAGCCTGAAACAATGTGTGAAGGTGAGATGTGTTCATTAAAAATCTTCTGTTGTATCTTCTTAAATGCGGTTGCATTATAATAGAGACCAGTGTGATATTGGAGATGCTGGACGGATGGGTGCTTGGGGTGCAGCAGGATGCATTGTGTACAGGGTTTACAGCAGGGGTGGGGTATCTAAGACCCGGGGGCCAGATGTGGCCCCCGGCTTGCCTGGATCTGGCCCTCGAGGATCAGGGCTCCCCCCAGCATTGGAGCCTGAGTAGGTGCTCCAGCCCCTTTCCCCCGCCTTCTTACCACAGGGCTAGAGCACACAAAATCTACTAGCTTGGGCCCCCTAGTCACTGGTGTGTGAGGAGAACGGGGGGAGTGTCTTCCTCAGTCAGAGGTCAGGTGAGTGAGATTTTTTTCTTCTCACTTGTGTATGGTCCCCAACTGATTTTTCTGTGGGTCAGTGGCCCCTGCTCCACAAAAGGTTCCCCACTCCTGTTTTACACTTTGGTTCAATGGCTTTCTGCACCTCCCACTATAAATACTGTTCCAACATCCCTGCCAATGTCCGTTAAATATTCCTATGTAATCTAGCCCTGATCTAGCAGTCAGGTTCTTTGCGGTGAATAGTGTGGCTCCTCATGGCCAGAGGGGTTTACTTCTGAGACTTAACTGCTAGATCCAGGCCTAAATTAATAATATAAATTCAATGGGAGTAGCTGTTCAAGGAACAGGTAGATTACGAATACTCAAAATATCATGACATTAAAATTACAGTTAAAATCTGAGATCATGGGATCTTAATATGCAAGATTATCTATTATTACTTTTGGGGAAGAAATCTCCAGTTACACCACTATTTATAGAATAATGAAAGGTTACTGAACTGTAAGAATATGACTACACTGGGGGATTATGGGGCTGTAGCTAAACCATGTCTTAGATGTCTTAGGGGGGACATGATAGCGGTTTTCAAATATCTAAAAGGGTGTCACAAGGAGGAAGGAGAAAATTTGTTCCTCTTGGTTTCTGAGGACAGGACAAGGAGTAATGGGCTTAAAGTGCAGCAGGGGAGGTTTAGATTGGACATTAGGAAAAAATTCCTAACTGTCAGGGTGGTCAAATATTGGAATAAATTGCCAAGGGAGGTGGTGGAATCTCCCTCTCTGGAGATATTTAAGAACAGGTTAGATAGACATCTGTCAGGGATGGTGTAGGTGGAGCTTGGTCCTGCCTTGAGGGCGGGGGGCTGGACTCGATGACCTCTTGAGGTCCCTTCCAGTCCTATTATTCTATGATTCTATGATTCTATGTACAGTTGTGCTATTTTCCTTACTTGCTACCTGTATCTAAGTTTCACTTTCTCTGTAGGAATAGAGCTGCCTCGCATCAACTATGATTATAATGGCAAAAAGTACAGATATATTTATGCAACAGAAGTTCAGTGGAGTCCAGTTCCCACCAAGGTATTACACTGATTGCATATTGCATGACGATATTCCTATAAATCAAACTGAACAGTTTACAAATAAGAGAGGCAATTTATTTCACTAGCTAACCTACATAAGCCAAATTATGCCCTGGCCAACATCCATACAACTATAATGAAGCCACCTAGCTGTGAGGTCGGAATTGGAACACTGCTAATCTGTGGTTCTGCTTTGTAAGGTGAAAGTTCCAAAAAAGTGTTTTTAAATCCATATTTCTTAAACAAGTTAAAGATTGCTAAATGACAACAATATGTGTACCTATCACTCTTGCAAACTCCAGCACTTAGAAGCAAAAGGACGAAAAGTTAAGGACATAAATCCTACATTGCCCCATGTGACAAAAATAAACTGACTGGGCTAGATTTTCAGCTGCTATAAATCCGTGTAACTTCATTATGGAGCTGTGTCCACTCAAGAACAGCTGAGAATATAGACAGTTGTTATCATCACATACAGAGATGCCTACTTCATCACAATGCACCCTTCACTCTCACCCTCTGATGTTTTCAGGAAACTTTAACTTATGTTGAGGCACCACCTATAGTCTAGAAAAGTGCCATCCCCACACTCCTCCATCATATTGAAGGTAGGAGAGTCATATGGACAAGCTGATAATTGTTGCTCAGTCAGCAAACTCTGTCCTAAAACCTACTGAGTGAATACAAGGCCACGCAGACAGAATTGACTGTTCCTGTTTCTAATTATGCCATCTGATTACAAAATGAAGTTGGATTTATGCAATTATATAGTAGATGATGCAAGAAAATGATTGTCAGCATATCTAATGATACTAGCTCAAACAAATCAAGTTTGTGATTTCTAACAAAGATAATCCTCCTTTACAAATGACTTAAATATAACCATAGTTGTTATATGAATTGTTGAGTTAGAGTTCTGTTTACTTTGGGTTGTTGTTTTTTACATTGCCTAATCCTTTGGACATCTGTGATATATGTAGAAGGTGCAACAAAGACATGCTGATATTGTGTTGTATGTTGCATCTTATAATTCTTTTAAATGCCTTTTTGAGTCCTATGTCAGGGTTTGGCTCTTTTCAAGTCAGGGCTCTCTTCAAGGCTATGTCTACACTGGCACCTTTTTCCGGAAATGCTTAAAACGGAACAGTTTTCCGTTATAAGTATTTCCGGAAAAAGACCGTCTACATTGGCAGGATGCTTTTCCGGAAAAACCCTTTTTCCGGAAAAGCATCCGTGGCAAATGTAGACACGCTTTTCCGGAAAAAAGCCCTGATCGTCATTTTTGCGATCGGGGCTTTTTTGCGGAAAAGACTACTGGGCTGTCTACACTGGCCCTTTTCCGGAACAGTTTTCCGGAAAAAGGACTTTTGCCCGAGCGGGAGCAGCATAGTTTTTCCGGAAAAGCAGCTGATTTCTTACAGTAGATCGTCAGTGCTTTTCCGGAAATTCAAGGGGCCAGTGTAGACAGCTTGCAGCTTATTCCGGAAAAGCGGCTGCTTTTCTGGAATAAGTGGCCCAGTGTATACACAGCCCAAGAGTTCAGAATGTGAACACTGATTTACCTTTAGCAGTGCAGAACCATACAGAAGATAATGGGGCTGAATGTGAAACAGTAACTCTATCATACTGGGTGCTTCAGGCACTTAGCCATTGCTGAGATACGGAGGTATTTACTGCTGTTTTTACAGTTCATGGATGAAATCCTAGCCCTGTTGGTTTATTAGCATCTTAAACCATGAAAACGAACTGATTTTATTTTTTGCAGTGTGGTTGTAGATGTGTTGGTCACAAGACATTAGAGAGACAAGGTGGGTGAGGTGATATTTTTTGGTGGAACAAACTCTGGTGGCAAAAGAAACAAGCTTTTGGGCTCACCCTGAGTTCTTCGGTTCTGTGTAAGTGCAAAAGCTTGCCTTTTTCACCCACAGGCATTGCTCCAGTAAAAGATATATTACTTCACTTGCCTTGTCTCTCTGATTTTGTTTCACATTTGTCCTGTTTAATTAGTTAAGATTTTTACCTCTGTAAGGACTGAGCCCACATGCCCGCTCACATGTGTATGCGTGTGCACGCACACACACACACACAATGAAGGGTGAGGACTAAAGGTCAGGAGGTTCTGAATTCCATTCCTTGCTTTGCTATAAGCTTTCTGGATGATTCTGCCCAGGTCTCTCAAACTTTGTGTGTCAGATTCCTGTTCTGTAAAATGGGCATAATATTATTGACTCACCTGATACAGAGATGTCATTTGAAATGTTCCCTCTAATTTTTTCCATCAATGTGAGTAATACATTTTTTCATGTGTACTAAGGTTGATGTGGATGTGTACCACCAGTAGAAACACATGATGCCAGCTGCTAATCAGCAGGGAAGCATTTGAATCTCTCCTGCTGGCTGCCCAAGCACACAGTTTACAGGGAACACTGGTCATCTGACTTAATTCAATAACTAATATTTGTGAAATGCTGTGAGATCCTTGGTTGACACGTGTAGTTATAATGTAGTGAAACAATATCAATTTCTGCTTTCAAATCTCTACAGTGAAATTGTCTCCTATTTAACACAAGCCAGATTCTGTGGCTATTCAGACATTAAACATGACCAAGGAGCCTAAAATTGTTCAAATGTTCCCTCTGTGGCATGCGGGAGTAAGTGTGTCTCATTGCTTCTTCGCTTCCAGTATTGGTCCCACCGTATTCTCCGTCCACACTGTTGGACAGTAAAGAGCATGATTTGAAATCAGAAGGTAGAATGGAGACTGAGGCATTATTGTGTCTTAATTTAGATAACAAAAATTGATGTTCTGACAAAGAAAAAGCTCAGCTGGGAGGAGGAGCACTGCTGGCCAGCTGAGCCTGTCTTCGTTCCCAGACCTGATTTAAAAGAAGAGGATGATGGTAAGAAGACTGTCCCTCTCACAAACTGGGGATAAACATATTTCAGGGTGTAGAACCCTTTGCTGTCAAGATGACACACAGTGGAGAATCAGAAATTTTAAATGTTTGTCAATGAGCTTTAATGTGAATCTGTTCTACCGACCAACAGTGCTACTGGGGTAAGTAAAATCAGTGCCAGCCACTGTGTTCCTGCAAACAAAGATGTCTGCTGCTACTTCTCCCTAGTCCTGTAGACCGTAGGGATGGAGGTCCTCACCTTCTTGCAGCATCTGCCCTCACCTCTTTCTCTCTTTGGCCTGTTTTCCCCGTTAGAGCTGAGAGCTCTTAATGTGAATTACCACTTTCTCAGTATTATCCCTCCATCTTCTCCTTGATTAGCTTCAAAGTCAGAGCCATCCCGTCCATAGGATGGTTTGGGGCAATCACCCTGTGCCCTGAGCTTTGAGGGGCCTAGCACGGCCCACATCAGTCCAGGAGATTAAAGGGGGACCTGGTGCTGCTCCTTGCACTCACTGGTGGCGGCGATAAGCAGAACGACTTGGCCCTTGACCACTGCAACAGCTCACAGCTGGGTCACTTGGAAGCAGAGTGACATGGCTGGGAGCTGGCAGAGTGTAGTGGGCTGGGCAGGATCACTCTACTTCCTGCTGCCACCGGTGAGTGCAGGGGGAGACCTGACTACTGCTGCTAGCACCAGGCCCACCTCAAGTCCCTCGGGGCTGTGTCGCTTTGGGAAAGGTGTGGAGAGGGAGCACAGCAGGGGTGAGAAGAGGCAGGGCCTTGGGCGGAGGGGGATTGACCTGGGTCCTGCACCCCTGTAGGGATGGTCCTGCAAAGACCATAGGGGTGTCCTTGGCTCAGAACACTCCTCCTCTAGTGTTCCATCCCCATTGGAGGTATGTGCTGCGAGCAATTGCAGATCAACCACATGCCACCCCCTCCATAACCCTATCAAGGTCAGGCATCAAGCCAGTTAGGAGTTTCCCTTCATTGCTCCACTTCACCTCATCTCAATCTTAAACTTGTTGATGGCCAGTTGTGCCCATTTGTTCTGGGGTCTGCATTGGTGCTTAATTTAAATAACTCTTGCCTTCCCTGGTAATTCTTTCTCTAATGCACTTAGGATTTCTCTCTATCTCCCCTCAGCCTTCCTTTGGTTAGGCTAAATAGGCCAGGCTCTTTGAGTCTCCTCTCATAAGGCAGATTTTCCATTCCAAGGATCATTTTAGTACCAGCTGTACCATCCTAATAGTTTGGTCAGGGATTTTTTTCATTGAGCCCTAGAGGTCATCTTGTGATACTATCCTATGCTTTCCATAACGTCTATAAAACCTGTGTATGCATTTTGACCCTATTCCCATTTTTATCAAGTACCGTAGGAACTGAAAACCATTTCATCTGCAATGAACCTGTTTTTCCAGAATCCATATTGATATTCTCCTACTATTTTCTCTGTTGAAGCAATAAATCTATGTAAGAATATCCAAAATAGGATTTGATAGGCTGTAACGAGAAGAGAGAGGACATGCTAGTTCTTACCTTGCATTGTGTCACCCTTCTTCAAAGCTGGGCACGTGACTGCTTCCGAATGGCAAGGGCAGTGGGTAAACAGCTGACATAGGGAGATAACCCTCCCCCCACATCCCATCTCTTCTGCTCAAGGTCCCATCTCATCCATGCCCATGAGAACCCACCCAGCCTGCATTGTAGCTTCTGGCCCCCGTCCTACACCCCCAGCCTTCCTGGTCTTAAAATTCACAGCGGCCAAGTAGTCATGCCACACCAGCCTTCTCAGCTCCAGAGAAACCAGTGGCTGTGTCATCCCCGGCTGCACTGCCAGACCAAATTTCCATCTGCCTCCTCCTGTTCCAGATCGCAGCCACAGCACCAGGCCAAGAGCAACCTGCTGCACACATATAGGAGGGGGGCTGACCCCAAGTGGAGTGTGGGCTGTGTCACCCATGTCTGTTGGGGGGAGGAGGGTAATGCCTTCCCTTGCCTTCATTACCCCCTGCCCATGTTCCACTGTTGGAAAAGAACAATGGGCCAAATTTGGCTCGTGTATACTCCCAAGCTAGACTTTAGAAACAACTGGATTTTTCCTGTAGCCCAGTGGAGCAATCTTTTAACAGGCTGGCATCACAGAATTCTTCAAACTGCTCGATTGAATGTCCTGAAGCTTGAAGCCCTCTAAATACAGACCAGGGCCAGCAGATGCAGTAGTATTGCAAGTGCCCACATAATCTCCTGCCAGCTATTCTGGAGGAACGACCTGAAGTGGTGGGTAGGGAGTGCAGTTTTTAGGACCCATTCAAGTCCCTAGTCTCACAGCTAATTTGCTCAGCTGTCCTTGGTTATCCAGGCTTCATAGTTGGTTGTTACATTTTCTTTTTGGGAAAGCAAATCTGTCTCTCTTTTTAAAATATATTCCTTATATATACTTTTTTAGGTCTCATTTTATCTTCTATTGTGACAACGGATCCCAAGAATGCACCCTTCCTGCTTGTCTTGGATGCTAAAACATTCACAGAGATAGCTCGGGCCACAGTAAATGTAGATTTGCATCTGGACCTGCACGGACTCTTCATACCAGAGAAGGATTTGAATGCAGAGCATGAATAGAAGACTCTTCATCTTTACAGTGTGAACATCAAAATGCAATCAAAGCCACCTACTGAGCCTTGAGAAATAATCCTTTTGTCATTTAAAAACCACCTTATGTCATCGCAAAGAATAACCAAATACTACAGCTATAAAGTAACTTTTATTACAGATATTGGGGATATGCACAACAAGCAATTACCTAACACACTAACACACACACACACACAGAGGCTAAACTCTGAACATGTCTCTTTCTTACAAGTTGTATATACTGTTTGCAATGAGTTGTGTTTTTATTCCATACATCACTGACTCTACTGGGAAAGTGAAGGCGGTGTGTTTACAATATGGCATATAGCATGAGTCATGCTTGCCCAGTTTGTGTAACTTTCATGGATCATTTCAAGACAGCATATGATCAACATTTTTCTTTCCTTTCAGAAATCCTGATATTTTAAAGTGTGTGCTATGGCAGTAATGATTCATAGCAATCTCCTTTCTTTGGTGCTTGATTTCTAAAGCTCCACTAAAACTACTGTGAAATGTCTAACGTGTTGCAGCTTTTTGATCAGGAGCCTAGAAAACTTAAGCAGCATGAATCATTTTATGACCTTTAAAAAAAAAAAAAGGGAGAGGGTGGTGTGCTTTGTGGAAGAAACTGAAGCTTAAACAATTTCAAATGGAATCTACACTTTTATTAAGACTTAATTATATTTAATAGTATTTAAATTATTCTTTATCTCTGTAATTTTTTTCCTTTAGGATTATCTGATATGACATTTAACTGCACTGTCTCAAAGATAAATGGTGATTTGTCTCTTTACCTGTAATATTGTTATATGCATAACAATGAGCAGTTACATTATTAGTAGAGCTCAGATGCTTAAGCTGAATGAATTGCTTCCATTACAGAGTGTTACTGAACCTAGTGAGTACTCTTTCCTGGCCACCCTTTGAGACTGTCAGGGGAATCCACCCCTTTGCTGCTCCAGATCCCTGGAGTGAGTTAAACTCCTGAAGTCTCAGCACGCTGCCATGTTGGTTTCTCCCTTGGCACCTCTGGCACACTTCCTGGCCACTGGGGATACAACTACACTGTGTATGGGGGTTTCGGAAGAAGGGATGCAAATTGTGCTCGCATTTGCATATCTTCTTCTGATTCTTTTTCCGGGAAGAGGCTTTTCCACTATTTGGCCTGTCTACATAGAGTTTTTTCCCAACATTTGGTCCCATGTAGACAGGCCAAATAGTGGGAAAGCCTCTTCCCGGAAAAAGAATCGGAAGAAGATATGCAAATGCGAGCGCAATTTGCATCCCTTCTTCCAGAAACCCTCTCCCCCCCACAGTGTAGCCATACCCTGACTCTGACAGTGAGCTGCATTCTTGGAAATGAGGCAGTTTAGTTTACCAGCCCCAGATTCTCAGAACCAGCACTGACCCTGGTTACTTAGACATACCCCTCTCCAGGAACTCCACGAAAAAGGGGAGCAGCTGCTTGTGACAATTTAACTCCCTCAGGGATGCAGCAATTATGAAAACACACTTTGCTCAGTGTAATACCTTTATGCTCTTTTTTACTTTATCATACAAAACACAGGAAAATGCAGATTGTACAAAACAAATGTGTGCCCCTGCCTCAGTTTCCTCACTACTCCAGGCCATTCTTTAGGTTGCGGTCTGAATCCCTTGCATTGTCCAGAGTCCCTCGGGCCATCTGAGCTTAGGAAAAGCAAGCAGGGACTCCTAGCCCCATGTGGTTTCTATGTGCAATGTGACCTCTCCCTCCTGGTGCTTCTTACCTTGCTCTCTGATCTTGCATTCTTGCTCTTATGTTTCCTCTTCCTGTATTACCCCGTTCCTGTGTTTTTCTTATTTTAAGTCCCTCTTGGTTACCTGGCCTCCTTTTTTCTATGACTGGTAAATTTCCACTGCTCCTATCTTACCCCTCCTTTCATACACAGGATAAGAGAGGCCTGACATTCTCTATCTGCACAGCAAGTATAACTGCACTAACAGGTGCTGTCTATCATTACACTAGGCATTTGCATCATAATCATTTTGGAGCCTTTGTGTTCTAATATGCTTCGCTGTTGTTGCAGTAGACAGGACAAATGTTCCCTAAAGTGATTATAAAACTCTCTCACTCCACCCCTCCCAACTTGTAGTTTAAACAATTGTTAGAAGTGCCAAAGCGCTGTAAACAAGCATGGTCATATGTGACTATTTTTGTACTGTAAATGGGCATGTGAGGTGTAATTTTCTCTAAATTGGGGGAGAGGGAATTTGTATTTGCCTTTGTTCTTTGCACAATAATTTCTTAGCACTGAAAATGTACCTTTTTCATGATTAGTTTTAAACTTACAAAGTAGGTTTAAAGTGGAAGGAAAATTGTGGCTACCTATTAGCTAGTACCAAGCAGTACCAAGTACAGATAGCATACTAGCAAGTATCAAGCACATATAGCATCGTCGTTCACTAGGCAAAGTCATTTTGCGAAGATTATACCTATAGGAAAATTCAAGAAATTAAACACATGTAATAGAATTTTTTTATTAATATGCTTACAAAAGAGAAGTAAAAGAAGTTTTAAATTTGTAAGATTTCACCTTCAAACATTAATCATTTTCTTGAATAATTACTGTACGTAGTACATTGAATCAGAAACTCATAAAGCTTCCAATACCCTTTCTGTAACTAATCTGAATATATTTGTGATTTGTAACAGTAAACATTTTCTTTGCACTAAAATGAGTTGAATAGGTGACTTGATTTTAATTTTGTTAGCAAATACTTTGTATGAATTCAAATCATAATGGTTGCAAATGGTGAACTGCAGCCAATGGGAGCCGTGAGGCTGCGCGGCTGCAGAGCTGGAAAGTAAACAAACCGGAGTGGCCCAGTAACAGCTTTCTCAGAGTGGGTCCATGGACCACTTTGAGAAACGCTGATTTAAACCTTTCACCCAGCATATTCCGGTGTAAAAAGTAGTGCATTCTACTAATTGAAGTGGCAGGATTATTTATGCAAAATTTGGTATCTATAGGTAATCACAAAGTATGATTTAATTTTGCACAAACAAACTTTTCAACATATATAATAGATGTTTAACAAAGATGTACAGAGTCACAGGGCTCCAAAGAAAAAACCTGGGCAGAGTGTAAGGCGGGGTGGGTGGGCAATAAAATGGCAGTGGTTCGCCAGGGTTATCCGCTATATTTAGTTGTAGGTATGGGTGATCACAACTCCCATTGTCTGCAGATTGCTGTTCTTGGCCAATGGGAGCTGTGGGAAGTGGCAAGGGCCAGAACACTGCTTCCCACAACTCCCACAGGGATAGGAACAGCGATCAACAGCCGATGGGAGCTGCAATCGCCTGTACCTGTGGAGGCACAGGTAAACACAGTGACAGCAGCCTGCCAAGGGCTAGCCCTGGGGAACCAGATGTGGCCCATGAGCTGGTGTTTGCCCAACCCTAGTGTAAGGTGCCTAGAAAATAACTGGGCATTACCAGGCTTGAGTTCGGAGCCTATGCAATGAATGGAAAGAGACAGGTGCCTCCGAATAGGATTCCCAAAAGTCAGGCAACAGGAGGTGTGAAGTGGAGAATATGCACGTAGCCCCCCTCCTCTCTTGGAGTGAGATGCCTAAATCCAAGCTGCAGGGAGGTTCCTCCCTCTGCTTGGGATTCTCTGCTGCAAACCTTTGCTTGACATAAGGCACCTGTGGGGTTTTAGTAAGTAGCTGGCAGAGGAGGGCATCCCTCCTCCCTTTTAGCACAGGGGATTGGCTACTCACCTTGGATGTGGGAGACCTGCCCTTCAAGTCCCCCTCTCTACCTGCAGGGGATTTGAATAGAGTGCTGCTCCCTCTTAGGCATGTGCTCTATCCCTGGGATGTTGAAGCTATTCCACTCTGGATAAATAATTTTCAAGTCATTAGAGTAGGGAGATTGGATCCTGGGTCTCCCATGTGACTGTGCTTCAGTGATTGTCATACTCATCATGTACTCTCTCCCTCTGGCCCAATCCTTCTTTCATGCTCTAGGCCACAGTAGAGGCGCTACACAAGGAAAGACTGAGGGACCCTCCTTGAGATTATCCCATAGCTGAGCACTAAGGCACTCAGGTGGCAGATCCCTTTTTCAAAGTTTGGAGACTTGAACAGGGGTCTCCACTATCCCAGCTAAGTACCCTAATCACTGGGCTCAGCTTCCTCATCCATCCACCTTGTGCAAGCTTGCCTGTAAGGCCATGGTTCACTAAGTGAGCTATGAGCACATGTACAGAACTAAGCCTGTAGGAATCATGCGCAGAGGAGCACTGACTTTCCCCCATTTTATGCATAGCTTTGGGGCACAGACATTCAGACACCTGGCATGGATCTGCAATGCACATGTGCAGAGACAAAAACATACGAACTTAAGGAACCTTTATCACAAAAACGTAGATTGCCAAGTTGAGTTTAGGCACCCTTTGGATCAAGTGGCAGATGAGCAGGTTTTTGTGAATCCCATTTGGGCCTGATTTTGGGGTTTAAAGTAACAGTTAGGCACCTAAGTTATTTTGTGAATCTAGCCCACAGTATCAAGATGGCCTAACGTCAGACTCTACATTAACCATGCAGTTTTGGGCATCCAGCTATTTGCATGCACTCAAATAGATTTCCACCCTAAAATTTAACAAGGCATGTCACAGTATGATGTGCCTGCACAAATAGTAGTCATTGAGGTTTTCAAGACTCACATATACAACTCCACTCCCAATGGCCTAGAATTTTACACATTAAGCAACAGACTGAATGTCATTTTTAAAGCAGCACAATAATAACACTAGTGTGGAAAGCAACATTCTTTATAGAGTGCCATTATAAAAGAAAGCCAACCTCCTGTTCTTTATCTGCAAACCACACATGTAAAATAATGGCCATCTTTAAAGCCTGTAGGGATTCATGCCATATAACAAGTCACCACTGCAAGCTTTCCTGGGTTGATGTGAGGTTTGGAGTCCATGAATAGTAGAAAACTCATTGTTCATGTTATTTACCATAGATTTGGTAATCAATATACAGCAAATGTGATTCTTAAGTCAGTCAACTTCTTTATCCTGGTCAGCTTTGGGACTTTGACACTGATAGACATAAAATATGGTACAGAAAAGTCTTTTCCAACAAGAATGCAGATTTGTGTACTAATTTCTAAATAAGTACATGGAATTTATGTTGAAGATAAAACCAAAGTAAAAAGTCATTGTAAGACTTATTTTTCTCTTTATGACTTTGTTATTTCTGAGCTGTTCTACCTCTAAATGGGCTAAGTAATGCAGGTTGTATTAACATGATTTCTAAGTCTGCTTCAAATGAGAAACAGTACAATTGAAGAAAATGTTCAGATTTAACTAAAAGTCACTTACCAATCCAAAATTGTACTCCAGCTCCATTCACTTGAAAACATAGCTTTTTAAATTCTGAACTTACTCCTCCAAATTGATCCCTGTGGCATAAAAATTAAATCATCCAAGAAGCAACAAGAAGCACAAGGCCAGAGCAGCGCCAGCCTCTTCTTGTTAGTGGGACTGTGGCAGGCCAGACCAAAAATTGGGAGAGCTATGCCCTCCTTGTTACTAGGCCCCCGTTGCACACTGTGGTCTTGCCCCTGTGCTGCTCATTGCTAATCTAAGGCTTTTCACTGCACTGCTGTGTTCCAGTGGACTAAACATTTGATTCTGTTTTGAAAAGGCTACCTGGTATCTCTGCAGACATTTGCTGACGTGCATTGGTCCACCAAAAAGCGTAAAAGTCTCTGGCCAGAAGTCTGTTTCCACTGGACTTTCTGGGCAGAGCTCATGGTGTGAAACAGGAGTGCTGGAGCCCAGATGCTCAGTCTCTGTGCAAGGCCATCCCTACCAATATGCAAAATACACAGCTGAAAAGGTTACCATAAATTCATCCAGCAGAACTGTGGAAGAGGTTTCTCCTAAAATGTAATTTGTGGCTGATTATAATACTGTCATTGGTAGTCTGAAACTATTAAGCTGTTTCTATTTTTCCAGAGTGGGGCAGAGCTCATTGAGTCTGCAGGTGTGACAACTTGGCATACATTTATGCCTGTGGAAAGGATATTTGGCAATCAGATATATATCACAATGGTTTGGACCTTTGCCACTCTTCACCATGACCTAAACTAAGGGGCTT